TTACTGATATATATACACGTATTTTTATACAATCAATTATTTGTATCTAACGGGACAAAATTAAAATATACAACACATTTGAATTTTGAAAAAAATATTATGGGTATCAAATGGTCAGTTACAAACATAAAGTTCTTACTTTATTAAAAAAATAATTTTAAAATGTATTTTTCTGTAAAAATTGTTTTAAAATATAATTTGTAACGCATTAGAGTATGGGCCACGAAAACGCATAACGTTTGGGTCTTCAGTCTAACATATTAACGTTAAAACTGACGCGAGGAAGCCCGTGATTTGAGGGATATTGTCCCGTCCTGACCCGGCCCGACCCATTTAACCCGGCTGACCAGACTATAATTAGCCCCTTCTGCCCTTCTTCTTTTCCCTCTTTCGCATTTCAGCCGCTCTACGGAGCTGAGAAACCTGGCGAAGCCCTTCATCGTGTTCGGTAAGTCCTTTCTTGTTTCGATTGATGTTTTCGATTCTTTCTGTTTAATCGTGATATATGATCTTACTTTCGATTACTCTAGGCTTTTTTTATTTTTATTTATCTTTCTTACGTATCCGTAAATGTTGTCATAGATGGGTTGCACTGTAAGGGAGAAGCATGTCCGAGCAAACCGGAAGACCCGATCGGTGAAGCCGGAATTTGATCCTTGTTGTTTTCTCGACAGATCCTCGATATCCAAATCCATACTCGAATCGGGGCTCAAACCTTTAGGTTATCATCCTGGTATGAACGATTCGACTATCCCCAACTCTAATACTAATTCTAATGGGAATTTTTACGAGAATGGATGGGGTTACTGCACAGAGGAGCAGTTAGAGGAAATTCTGTTGAAACACTTGGAGTACTTGTACAATGAGGCTATATCTAAGCTCGTAGCCTTAGGTTACGATGAGGATGTTGCGTTAAAGGCGATACTGAGAAATGGGCATTGCTATGGTGGCATGGATGTGTTGACTAACATTTTGCACAATTCTTTGGCATATTTGAACAGTAGTTGCGGTAGTAGTAATGTGAATGCCGAGGAATCCGAGCCTGTTTTCACGGATTTGAGACAATTGGAGGAGTACTCCCTTGCGGGCATGGTATGCTTGTTGCAACAATTTAGGCCTCATTTGAGCAAAGGTGATGCCATGTGGTGTCTGCTTATGAGTGATCTGCATGTGGGTAGGGCGAGCGCCATGGAAATGCCAGCTATTCCTCCTGTTACTGGGCCTAATGCAGTGCAGAATACTATTGAGAGTGTTGGTGACAGTGGTGTTGGTGTTATGACACCAGCATTGTGTAGGTTTCATGGTGGCTGGGGGTTTGGAAATGGTGGGGGATCAGAGCTATCTGTTAATGACTTCTTTTCATACAGTGCTGAAATGACTTCGCAGAGGGACATAGAGTGTCCCAAGAGATTTAATCTTTCACCTTCAATGAAGTCCTTGTTGAAGAGGAATGTTGCTGCATTTGCTGCCGGTTTTCGGGCTAACTCGAAACAGATGCAGACACAATCTCATGCTTGTGTGAATAATTGGACAAGTGGGAATGTCCCTTCAAATTTATCTGGGGGCGAGATTCAGGCAGAGAAGTCTGAGGACTCGCAAAATTCAAAGATCCAAGTTGGAGTTACTTCTGTTCTGAGCAAATTTCGTGATCTGAACCTTGATGAGAATTTAGAGATTGTTGGGGAAGATCAGAAGGATGAGATGATAGTAACTCTGCTTCATCAGATTAAGGATCTGGAGAAGCAAGTGCAGGAAAGGAAGGAATGGGCTCACCAGAAGGCAATGCAAGCTGCTAGAAAGCTTAGTAATGACTTGACAGAGCTTAAGATGTTGCGGATGGAAAGAGAAGAAACCCAGAGGTTGAAGAAGGGTAAACAGGCACTTGAGGACTCAACCATGAAGAGACTGTCAGAGATGGAGAATGCTTTGAGGAAGGCTAGTGGTCAAGTGGATCGGGCAAATGCAGATGTGAGACGCCTTGAGACTGAGAATGCAGAAATAAGAGCAGAGATGGAGGCTTCAAAGTTAAGTGCAGCAGAATCAGTTAAGACGTGTCTGGAGATTACAAAGAGAGAGAAGAAGTGCCTGAAGAAGCTTTTGAATTGGGAAAAACAGAAGGCTAAGTTGCATGAGGAGATCGCCGAAGAGAAAGAGAAAATCAAGGAATTGCAACAAGGTTTGCTTAAGATCGAACAGGATCAGAAAGAATATGAGGTACTTTGAGTTGTTTATCTTTGAATTTGTGCACAACAAAAATTCATAAGATTTATCTATTACATATTACTGCATGTTTTGGCTGAATATTATTCAATTTGTACCCTGGTCCTTCTTGCATGCCCTTCAATAAATTTCCCCTGCTGATTAAGTAGATATTTTGTTTACATCTTTGAGAAGAATTGCATTTTGTAATTATTACTTAATTGATGTATGTGTGATACTGCCTAAACATACTGCTGTCCAGATAATGGACTTTTACTTTAAAAAACCCAATAAGACAATGGACTTTTAGCATGTAAATCTGTTGGCAGCTGAAGGCAGAATCAACTGATGCCTTTAATTACACTGGCTTTTTCCCTTAGCTCCCAAATCTTTCTCCACTCTCAAGAGTGGAAGATTAAGACCCCAGACTTCTGCTTTTTCAAATCTTTGTTCACGCATTCCACCATAATGAGCCAGCTTCGGGGAAAGGAGGCCCAATACCTCTAAGCACACAGCAACCAGTGAACTAGCTGCCACCTAAAGTGAAAGGGAGTCCCAGTATATTACAGAACAAAGAGAGTCAGCGTAGTCTACCAAGTGAAAGCAGTCATTTCTGGAGTTAGCTCTACGAATGAAGCAGGCGAAGAACTTCGATTATTTTTTTAAAATAAAAATTATAATGTGTTTTATTAATTACAAGCACCAAGGGAGTGTAAGCCCATGTACAAAAGATATTTTCATGTCAATCAAACAATCGACAAGGTTACCTACTTCCTCAATGGAGTACAAAGAATTATTTGTAACCAAAAAGCCCAAGCTTTGATACCATCTAGTCTTAACCTTATCAATATCCTCTTCCACCCCTTGAAATGTTCTTCTATTCCTTTCTTTCCACACCACCCAAAAGATGGTCAGAGAAATAAGTCCTAATTGTTTTTTTTTCCTACCACTAACACCCTTCCATGTCCATACCTTCTCCCTACCAGTATTCACCATTACCCAACTAATGCCCAACAACCTATATGCCGTGCACCAAAGATTATACACAAGGGGACATCATAGTAAAATATGCTCACAAGTCTCCTCCCCCCCCTTGCAAAGATTTGCACCCGTTCCCCCTCCTTGCAAAGATTTGCACCCGTTCCCCCTCCTTGCAAAGATTTGCACCCGTTCCCCCTCCTTGCAAAGATTTGCACCCGTTCCCCCTCCTTGCAAAGATTTGCACCCGTTCACCAAAATCTTCCTTTTATTATTAGCTTATCGATGGTCAAAATACATCCACGTCCTGCTTTCCAAGCAAAGAAAGCAATTCTTGAGGGGGCATGTACT